ATGAAGATCCCAAAACATTTTTCAGAGTAAGAACAGAAATCTTTTTAAAGAGGATTTAAACTTTCTCATGGTGCACTTGATTCTCTTGGTAACCTTCTGAGCCTACTTAGAAGTAAATCCATAGACTCTAACAAGCCTACAGACCACGTCCAAAATACAAACTTCAATTCATCACCATTTTCTCTGTAATTGTCATACTGACTGACTGATGACATCTTTGGCTAAGAGGGGGTGTACTTTCTTCCCATCCCCTTCTGCTCCCCAGGATACATACACTGCTATCTGAAATGGTATTCTGATTAAAAGAAGTGCCTGAGGCCATCTCAGCACCTAGATCTCTCATCTCCTCCCCAACTCAGCTGAAAAACATGGTCTCTTCTCAGCATTCTCCATCTCCTCTGCTCATGCTATGGCAGGAGTGCTGAGCATAGAGGAAAAGTCTCCATTCATCTATGGAATTTTTCAGACATTTTTCCAGGAAGACACCCAGGCCAAATGAGGATCTGTGAGTAGAACAGAGAAACTCTTCTGCACAGTGCCCAAGGCACTTCAAACACTACAGCAAGCATTCCAGCTGTCCATGATTTAGGGAAGCAAAATTTATGCGCCAAAATGAATAGATCCAATAAAGCAATTACTACGCTCATACTTGCAAACATTTTGTATTATATTCCAAAAGCAAGATCATTCTGAATATAAAATCTGACTGTATTTTTTTAACTTTTATACCCATTAAAACTTCAAAGTATTTTATGAACAGAAAATCTATGCTACGTGTCCCATGAAGCTGTGTTAATCCTATGGAGAACAAATCCTCCCACTAAACAGAATTTTCCCACTCAGTAATATTTAACACAGTAGACAGCTTTATTGTGATAGCAAAAAAAAAACATTTTAGTTTCCTAAAAGAGGAAAAGTACTGAAAAAGTCCAGGCTTAAGCAACTGTTTTCCTACACAATTAAACTAAAAAGGGCATAAAGTTTAGAGCAAAAGAGCGAAGCAAACCAATCATTTAAATTATATATCTCATAGGAAGTGCATGATTAATTACTGGTAGAGCTATTCAGTAAATCCAGTTAAGGCAGGCAGCCAAAACCAGGTGATGCAGTAAGAATGCTCTATTCTATGCCATCTACTAGGCATACAACATTTAAGAAAATTTACAAGTACCAGCACTAACTAGTGATCCCAGCCTTTACGGTTTGTACAATGAGATCAGCCTTCAACAGACAGAATAATTATGCTAATAGAAGAAAAACTTTCCAAAAAAACAGGCAGCCAAATCTAAGAGACCTGTCAATGCCAGTGTCATCAGTGGAGTGATAACTAGTAAAGAGCGGATATCAAAGGCTGTCTTTCTCTTCCCCTCCATGCTCTGTTCTGTTTGAGCCCATGGTGGTCACAGCTCCTTTAACAATATTTATAATGAAGGAACAACGTTGGAGATGTCAACCCTGATTATTCATAAAGGCTCCTCCTGCCCAGCTCTCCCCTTAGGCTAACTGTAAAAGTACCTGATTCCCAATTCTCAAACACAAAAGCGCACAGAGCTTGAAAGCTGAGCTGACTAATAAAGTTTGCATATCCCTAAGAACAAGAGCACACAATGAAGAAGAAAAGGAATGGCAAGATTAAACAAAAACAGTAAGCTTGGATAGGAAATAATAAAAATTTAAAGAGGCAAGAACTTAGATCCCCCCATACTCCTGTTCATTTACATTTCAACATGTCCTAAGAAGCATCTGTTTTATCTCCTGACTGCTGCATCAAGGTATAATATACACTGCAAAACTTAAATCACATTTTGGAGCTGGAATCACAAGAGGTTGTGAGCAATATAACTTCTAGGTCACTGAACTTCAACTCAGGAGGAATCTAGAACAAGGGATAAAACTGACCCAACAAACAATTCTGGCTTACTGTTCCACTTTGGGGCCTTTAACTGTTATTTAAAATACACAAAAATGTGGGAAATACCTTCAAACAAACAAGAAACTGGAATTACAATAGGACCATAAGCTGGATTTACCTGGTATAGAGCTTCGATATATCTCTGACCACTTGACAAACAACATGGGCTTGAGGCGAGACTGTCATAGATATATCTTAATCACACAGGGGACCAACAGAAAACAAAGCCTTCTTCGTTCCTCTGTTCTGCTTTGCTTACACTATGAGGGATTCACTGCTGGAAAGGGCAGGTCTCACCTGTCCAGGACAAGCAAGTAAACAGGAAATAAAGCAAGAGGAAGGAGTCCTGCTAGTAGAAACACCTAGCCAGCTGCAGAATGATAAGCCTCTTCACTGGTCCTTTCTCGAGACTGACTAACACCATGGCCTTGCCTCACATTTTGAGAGGCCAGTCTAGTCAAAAGTCCTGCAGGAACCTTATAAGCTACCACCTCCTGAGAAGCATCAAGAAGCTGTTTGACTGAACTCAGCAAACTGCTTAGGGTAGGAAGCAATGATAATAATAAATACTGAATCTCCAAAAGGCTACAGGGGCACTTTGAGGGAGGATTAACAAAGTACAGAATCATCCAATACTGAGTTTGAGCAAGACGTTGGGATGAACTTTCTAGATTGGAGGAACTGGTGTGGGATCCATTCTCCAGGCTTTCATTACTGGTATTTACTTCCATGACAGAACAGTTCCACGGCTCAGAAGTCACAAGACGTATGCATACATCATAACTGCTGATAGACTCGCCCAGGTAGCAGAGCCACACATATCACCTGAGAGGACATGTCCCCTGAAAGTGAGTCCAGCAGACTACACATATCCAATCTTTCTGCAACTGCTATGGAACGTATACTTGTAAATAACAAAAAGGAACAAAACTTTTTTTATTCCATCTTTAATAAAAATGGATTTTCCATCACCTTGCTTTCATAGATTGGAATAGTCACGGATGCTGGGAACAAACTGTTTTTATATTAGCAGGATAAGGCTTTCTTAGACCTTCAAAACTGTATATAAACTGTGAACAAAATGGAAACAATGAAGCAGAAGAAAAATTGTATCAAGGAGTAACATTTTAAAACAACTGTTGCAGTGACAAATCCTCTAACAGCAGTTCGGTTGTTTTTTTTTGTTTTAATCACACCTGCACAAGATAGCCCTTTACAAAGCAGTGACACACTGAGTAGCTAGATCAGCATCACCAAAATCTTACACAAAAAGCAACAGGGACACAAGCGATCTATACATTTCTTTCAGAGTATTGAAGGCCAGCCACCCCAGTCAGCAGAGAGGCCATACTCACAACCTAGAGTTTTGTGTTACCCTTATAGCTCAGGTTACCTCACCTCAGATGACAGGTCAGTTTGTCTCTAGGACACAGCAACTTTGCCTTTACATTAGCATTGTACTGCTTTGATTTACTGTAAATGACATGAGGAGGATGCTACTGTGTGTGGTTTACCCACAGAGGGAATATTCTCTATTGGGATATATAAGCAGAAAGGTCAGACAGAACTTCCCTTTGAAATCTGGTTCACTTAATTCATTGTTTGCAAATGTGTCAGAAACAAACTGGCTTTGTCTCCAATACACTTGAAGGATTTGTGCTTTTGAAATGCACAGCTACCTCCTTTTCAGCCTTTCAATTCCTCCCTGTTGAGTCCCCTACATACAGTGGAAGATAAACTAGCACTTAATTTTCAAAGAGATACTTTTTCTATCTCAACCATGCTAACCTGACCTAAACAAGAGAGAACCACAGGACCAACTTAAGCATTGATAATTCCACAGAGCTTAGAAACTCATGAAGTATCTCAATTATACCACTTTGAAGTGAAAATATTTCTGTTCGAGAATCAAAATGATCCATTGTGAAATTCCCAGTTATAACTTTTCAACAGTTTTTCCTGAATTGCAATAGTCTGACACATGTAGCTCCTGCAGGACTTACAGACCTTCACCTGCCTAGCTAAACAGCTGCATTATTACTCAGGGGCATGTGTGTATTTACAGTCTCACTGTCCTCCAGAACAGTTACGCTGCTCAATTTTATTCATGTATCTTTGTCATTTGGAAATACAACAGGACACATTCATTTCGACTGCCACACTGGTGACCTCAGTGTAATCCTACCAGGCACGTTTATCCCAGTATTCATGATCCATATCTGGTATCTCTAGCAAGAGGGCAGTGCAGGAGTGAGGAGGGAGATGAGGAACAATACCTGGCTCAGCTCACTAGCCATCAGAGCATGGCCTTTTTACTAATTAGCATGATTTAAAAAATAATTGGTCTTCTTGCCTATGCCACAGTGCATCAGATAAAGTTGAGAGCGAGGGAAGGAGCACAGTAAACTCATTACTGTTTACTCGTTCACTGCCACATTGTTAAAAAAGGTCACTTAAAAGGTCAAGAATGATACTATACTACATGAGAGCTTTAATCTGAACATATAAGAATAGGCGGCAATCTAATTATGAAACCAGAATTAATAGGGAGATGCTACAGAACAAGAAGATAAGTACAAGTCAGAGAGGAGTAATTAACCAAACCAGTCATACATCTTGGAACAAGCCAGCCTTACCTTTCCAGCCATTGTAGCATACTGCACATGCATCTTTTTAGTGCACCTCACTCATCCACTAGCCATTCACCACACTGCTACCTGAATTTGTTTGCTATTTCAAGTCTCTGCAACGCAGACAGAGATAAGCACTAAAGCTTGCACTTTCTGTATTCTGAAGCACTCTCCTTAGTGCAGTACAAACTCACAGCCAAGCTCTCCTGACTTGAATCTTTAGGCTCACCCCGTAGGTCACATCAGCCCTTCAAAAAATCTCAATCTCAAGGTTTTTTTCTTTACAAGTGAGCTCTTTACACTACTCACGGTAGAGGTAAGCACCTCATCCTTGCCCAAGTTTTAAACATAAGAAATAATAAATCTTTAGGAACAAAAAAAATACCTGCAAGTGACCCTTTACTGGCTACTTTTCCCTAAGAAGAACCCCAAGCCACACTTCCACTTATAAAACAAACTTACCAATCTCTTGTCCTTTCACAACCTTCCACTGCTTTGACCAGGAGACTCCTTGATAAGGCACTATCCAAAAAAAAGCAGGAACTCCCATGTTGAGGAAGAGTCAGCTGATCTCCAGATGGTTTGTATTTGAAGAGATCCCCATTCCTATTTAATGCTTTCTCAGTGTCAGGTTCACACCCATCCCATCTGTTTGGTCTCCACTCTATCTAAAGCTTGAAGACTGAAAGGATAGTGACTATACATTCAAAAGCATTTGCAGCTCATTAAAGGCACATGTGGGAAGTTCCCACACCCTAGGAAGTCATTATGGGATCTTTAGTCTGTCTTTCCAAGGAAGTTCTAGAGCCCACCAAGCAAATTCAGCTGCATCTAAAGGCTTTATTCTGTATGTGCAACAACACATCTAGTAGGTCACCAAACTGAAGTAACTATCACAGTGACCCTGTGCCGAAGTATTTCCCTAACAAATCCCCTCGATTTCTCTCCAGGTACTGCACCAAGAAGGCCTTCCCTGTAGAAACACTATGCCTTCAAGAAATAGGGGTGGGGAGGGAAGGTAGAATCATGTCAGCAAAGTCTCCCACACCACCACCACCACAAAAAAACATTTACCTTTTCTTCTCAGGAGCTACTTGTCTCAGCTGTCAGGAGTTATTACCTGCCTTCAACATTCCATCAGAGCAGTGACCATTTTGCAAAATGCCCACTGATCATCCCATTGAAATTTCCCATACTACCAAGAAAGTAGCACTTGTTTGCATCTGGCTGCCTCAAACATCTAATGAAACTCTCACTAGTAGCTAAGAACAGAGGAAGAAATTCATGGCAAGCTCAGTGAGGAGATGATGAAGCCTTTTAAAAATCACTGATTTCCAAGCAAGTCACTGTTGGTAAATTTAGCATCTTAGAATCTGCAACAAAACATGCAGACATATGTGACTGGAGGAGCCAGCGCTCCATTTCCTAAACCACACACTCAGTTTAGATTTAATAAGACAGTAATTGTGCATTAAGTACTCATTGATTACCTAGAATATATTTATTAAGAAATAACAGCTCTGTAACTCACCTCCATTAGATACTCCCATATCTATTACAAAGCTGTTAAACAACAATAAATGCTTATCTAAAAAATGAGCATACATAAAATACACATCCTATTAAATCCAACTGAAACACATGTTGAAGACAATTAAAGCTCCTGTGTGATTCTCAAGTTTTCTGAGCAATGCTATTCTGATGCCTGAAGCCATAGCACCAAGCCTCTGAATAGCAACTTTTTTATAAGATTCAAGAAATTTTCAAGAACTCTTAAGCTTCTCAAGAAATCCTTCTTTAAGCCTGATTTGCTTGGTGACAGCATATCAGTAAGGAATGTATATGTCTCTGCAGAACAGGTACACACCAATGACATAAACAGAAAGGGAGGTGACATTAAATGAAGTAAAGAAAATTGCGGTCCCTAGGGATAAATTTTACAGCAATAAAAACAACACTCCAGCCACATCTGGCCTGGATCAAAGACAACAGACTTCTGACAAAGAGTTGGCAGGAGTCTGCAAAAGATGGCAAAACAAGCACAGAAAGGAAGAGACAGAAAATGGAGTGTATGGGCCCCAGTGACCAGGTACTACACAAATAGGCAATACTGGACTAACACACACACAAAACGGAAACTTCACTCTGAACATTTTCTTTGAGCCCAAAAAATTGCTTTTTAGCTACAAAAGAGCTACTGGAATGAACTGAAGTACATTCTGTCCAGTGGGCACTCCCTGGATTCACATCAGAAGCACCTATGTAGGGCAGCATAATGAAACTTGATTTCTGCTGCTCACAATCCATCAATTTTCTGGGTAAGTCCAAAACTCCTACAGACTCACGGGCCTCCTGCTGCAGCAATTAATTCACTTTTCCTACTAAGCTATTAATTAATTTTAAAAACCCCTTGTTGTTGAGCAATGCACATACATCATTAACATCAGAGAATTCTTCTATTGCATTATTGTTTATTAAAACACAAACTCAGAAAAAGAAAATTGGAAAATGAGGGTTATAAAGCAAAAAGCCAGAGATGGGTCTGGAACATAGGCATACTTAGTCATGGAAATTCTGTTTGAAGCTTCACTGTCTGTTTTATTATGGATTCCATAGGCAGCTTCTAATTTAGTGCTGCTGTTAACACTCCTGCTACATCAAAAATTCCCTCTGCTGAACTTTTGTAGCGGTTTTTGTGTTAGACAAGCACCAGTCCTTTCCAATTTCACAGTTTCCTAATTATGGTATTGCAGTTCTCATTTGTACTGTAAATGTAACCAGATTAAAAAAAAGGGGGGGGGGAAGCAGCAGTAATTTCCAGCTGTTGAAAGCGCTGTTTTTAGCAGCATTACCCAGTGATACAGAAAAGGTGTGTAGTAGCTGGTCAGTAACCAGTTTAGCAAATTGTTTCTAGGTATATTGCTGTGAAATGTGTATTATAGCACCTTCTGTGACAAACCACCGCGTAAAAGCTTTGATCTTCAATTGCCATTCAAAACATTAATACTAATTTCTTTCAATCACATACTTTAACAAAATTAAGATAAACAAATACCTCAATTACCAACAAATGAAGAGTAAAACCTACAAGAAGGATTAACCCACTAATTGAACATTCAAAGCTTTAAATAGCAAAGTAACTCTAAATGACTAATAAAAGGCTACCATAGATAAAACATCTGAGAAGCAAAATAGTCCTTTTTCTTCTTCTGTGTTTACAATAACCACTCTTTGTTCCAACAACATCCACAGAAGTGTTTCCCTTGTCTTTACTATATCCAGTTTATTGTAGGATATGCAATTCATATCTTCTTCCAGTAGCAGTGGTTCAGGGCCCCTCTGAAGCATTTGTTCTGCTAAGTGACATATTGTGACACATCCCATGAAAATGGGGAAATGTGAGAAAAGTGACAGAAATACTTTACTCCTCATTTCCACTAATGAGAATAAACAATAAGAGAGACATCTATAAAGAATTGCAGTAAGCAATTTATTTGGTTGAAGCACAAGCAGTGCCTTTTCTTTCCCTGCTCCCCTTCCTCTTACTTTGCTTAGAGCAGGCTTTTCATTTTTTTTCATTTTGCTTTATATTGTCAACCAAGAACAGAGTTCCTGAGGAGACAAACAGGGGGTAAAGAAGACAAATCTGTCTGCTTTGTGTGAGAGCTGTAGGCCAGAGTTATCAACTCCTCTGCTATTCAAGACAGATTTGCATATCCAAGGCCACCCGAGGCAGAGAAAGCATTTGGAGTCTGATTTTTTTCCACTAGAACACATCAGGGAGCGAAGCAAAATCAGGAAACTCCAAAAAAGATTCAAGTAACTACTAAAAATATTAAAAAATAAAAAAAATAAAAAAATCACAAAACTTTGTGGAGAGGGAAAACCTAAAAAACTCCTCCCATTCAAGAATTTCTGTCATGGAAAAAAAGACATTTTATACATAATGGAATTTCCAAATACTCTTATTAAAGAAACTCCACAGACAGCAACTTGGCACAAGAACTTCAGATTGGCATTCGTGCTGTTGCTGTCTGTATCTTAATACAACACTAGTTCTCTGCATACAGGAATCAAGGATGATGGAGTAGCCAGCCTGGAAAAGGGTGCATTATTTTTTCCAGCAGTCTTGTACCTTAACTGCAGTTTGGTGATAGAAAAAAAAAATAAAATATAAAATCCAAAGATATCCCACAGATAAAAAGGCACTACATGGTGGCTGCATCATGCATTAGCTCTACCATTAATACCTACTATTGGGAAATACCAGAGAAATGCCGGGGAGTATGGGGGGAAAACGGTAGGGGGCAAAATTCCAGTATAGTCAGTCCCTAATCGCAAAGCTTGTCTTCCTACAGATATAATACTGGAATGAACCAAGCACATCATCTCAGCATAGTGATTACAGAAATTGCTTTGAGAAATGCTGTCAGTAAAATCACAATTAATACGAATATATTTAAGTTAAAGTTAACCTTTTACTGAGAGTATGTGTGTGACATACACAATGCATGGAGACAGTGTATACACTCCATACTTTTATTGACTAACAAGAATTACCAGCTAAAGAGCTGCTAATCTCTTCTCCTGCCTTATGACCCATTTTCATGCACACACTTTAATCTGATACAGAGTTACTTTTGGATTTTGCCATACCTTCCTCACTATATCAATTTTTAATGCAAAAACCTGCCACTTACAATGGCACAGGAATACTTTGGCAAATCAAGATGCTATTAAACCTGAATAAAGAGAGCAAAATTTCATTCTATAATTCACAGCCCAAAGGCCCTGATTCCCATCCATTACCCGTATACTGAAGAGCCCTTTAAAAATCTTTTTGACTTCAATATAATGTGTATCATAATTGGTCTTTGATTTAATGAATATTATCAACCACTATCTTAGCTAGACCTGAAACACTACTCAACTGCCTAAAGACAAAACCATCTTTTATAACATACCATGAAACAGCAGGCTGCAGAACAGTAATCAGCAATAAGTAATATGCAAAGGCAAAATTTGTTTTGGCAATTAAAAGGAAAGTCCTGAACCTTAAGATTTTAACCTGTGATTTGTTTGGTTTAAAAAGAATGGTTGTGGATGTAACCGATTTTCCTCACCATTTTTTGTCAGTAGCATTGGAAATCAGACACTTCTTCATAGAATCCATATCACCTAGTCGTATGCATTTGGTACATTAGAGAATTCAATTAATTTATTTATACATATTTTCCAAAGAAAATGAGGATCTTAAATTTACTGAAGTTAACTCTGAATTTAATATCTTTACCATGCAGTCAACACTTAACCATGGATTTGGAAATCTAGCAGCTCAAGTGCTGCCCACTCGCTGACACCTAGAACACGTCTGCTCTTGCATCACATTGTTGTTCTCAGTTGCAAGCCCTGCGTGCATGATGAGATCACAGCACTATCGTACTGGCAATGGCTTCCACATACAGGCTAAATAGTACTAGAGAGGTATAAAATCCATTTCAAACCACTGTTTTGAGTGAGTTGTTCATGCTTGTTGGTACATCTGAAGAAGAATGTTGCTCTTTCAAAATACTTATAGCAAGTTGGAAAAAAAAAATCGGCTTCTAGGGGCCAAATACACTTTGTTTCCTAATATATACAAGGCCTTT